TCACCTCAGTGGCTTGTTGTCTAACATGTAATGGAATTTGATTTTGTTCCTGAGGTGTGCGTGTTCCAACAACGTTAAAGCTCGAATTCCTAGGGTCAATATCAATAGTATTCGAGACTATAGATTGTTGAAGATCAATATTATTTACAGTTAAGTTAGATTAGCACTTAGTTCGCCATCACGAGATAGGCTGTCGTTAGTACCGCGAGACGAGCTCAAACTATTTTTATTCAAGCTACTATATATATACTTTCCTGTGATCTTTCTAATGGTATAGAATATTTTTTTTTAAAGTGAACTTGAAATTTTGTATTTTCAGTCAACATAGTCACTTTATTAAAATTTTAAAATCTGAAATTTTCAACTGTATTCATATACAACTGGCTTCATAGCCAAAATGAGAGGTGCCAACATATATAGTCTTGTTCACCAATGTGTGTGACAGTGTGAGCTATATAAGAAAATGCCAGTTAGGCGGCTTGTAAAAAAATGCCATCAGAGTGTACCTTTCAGAATCGCCCGTCGTCTAATTTTAGTTTCTGATGCGGAGCTTGAGAAAAAAAATGATGAGCGCATACCTGACGGCTTGAAATGCAAGAAAAGGGGTACTTTAATAACTGCACATTTAACTTAACTTCAATTCTAATTTAACAGTTTGTTTGAGTTTGTGACAAATAGTGTAGGCCACAACTCACAAGTGTAGCCTACGTATTCTAAGAGTTGAGTGTTATTTTGTGTTGTGTGACAGTAAAGAGCACAGATTTTGATTGCTTTTTTTCTTCTTTTTTTAAGGTATTATCTTATAAAACCCTATTTTGCCGGGGTTTATCTGTATGAAACCCACAGAAACTGGATTTTATACAAATAAACCGTAAATATTTAATTAATTAATTATCTATTCTATTCATCAACCCCTCTTTTGGGGAGATATCAAAACCCTCTCCTTGCTTTTAGATTCGTACCCAAACTAAATTAAACCCTATTGAGAACAATAGAATCCACACAAATTTGAACTAAGAGGTGTTACTGTCTATACTGTAGTTTGCTGTTGATATACGTCGTATAAGGTCTCTAATGAGTTTATATGTTGCCATTGCATGTTATTGCCTTTAATCTATAATTATTATATTGTGCATCGCCGGAAGATCGGGAAAATGCGAACAAGTTTACTAGACTTAATTATATATGAAACTGCTAACCAGTTATTTTGACAACTTACCCAAGGTTGCCACCTTCGCAGGGACCTTCCAATTTATACTAAGACTTAATTATAGTCTATGACTATGTATTATAATTTATAGATGGCTCACCGGTGCTATGTTTAGTGAGAACATCCAGAACGTTATTTTGTTTATGACGTTCTGGATACCCATGTTTGCATTCCTTACTCCTTAGCAACTGAGCGGTTCACAAACACCAACAGTTCACTTAACTGCCACTTTCGGAATCTCTAACTGCGTGGGTAGGTAACCATGGTAACAATCTTTTCATTCAAACAGTGTATTCAAACTGACAAACAGAATAGTTGGTGTGTAGCCAACAAACAAAACATACATATATAAAGCAATCTTTCGCACGATTAAGTTTCAAGTGAATTTCTTCAAGTTTCAAAGATCGATGTACCATATATTGATATATACTATACCATGTATATATAGGTATGTATACAAATTCGTTGATCTGCATTTTTTTATGCAATTAAGTGTGAAGAGTGTTTGCTACGCCTGATTGTAATGCAGTGAAGGTGGAGTTCATTAATAATATGAAATGTAAATTAGCTAGTCATGAGACTCTCTTGTGAAGCTCACGTCAACATTCCTTACGAATTTGGCTGTCACGACCGAAGCGAGTATAACCATGCATTTTATCCCTTTTTAGAAGTCTTATTTAATTGTAAATTGCTCGAACCTTTCAAATTAATATCTAACTTTAAATCAGCGAGTACAATATAAGCGAGTACAATATACTGTACCGTTGGATTATACAGATTATAACTAATTTATCATTTAATTTGGCGGCTTTTAATTAATCAGGCCATGCTGAAAGGTTTGTATCAAGCCAGTGGCACGAAGCCATGACAGTTGGCAGCACGTAGCCTGCGTAGCATCCAGGCGGTTTTGGGGGGGAGGACTTGCGGTTCTTTATAGTTCTCAACAGTATCGAGTTTTTAAGTTAAAGCGTAGTTGCAACATTGATTTATCAAACCCTTATCTTCATACCAGATACCTTCTAGCGCAATTTCAATTCCTTCGAATTTCATATTCTTTAAAACTATAAAAGCCTCTGCGGAGGAGAGAGTATCAAACCTTTATTTTGTTAATCTACAGCTTGAAATGCAACCTCGTACCCAGACTCTTTCCACTATGCCTGGGTAAGACTTTGCTTGAAATGTCCCCTGCAACAATTCGTGACTGCATGCCAACTCTCATCCTCGATTGACTGGGCCTGTCTTTAGGGCCTGTCTCGCAACTGTACTGGTCTGAACTGACATGGGAGCTCTGACATGGGAGCTAAATGCCAAAATGTCAGCTTCATTCACTCACTGACTTAGTCTTCGGACGTGCATAGTCAGAATCTGGAATTCGGCTCTTAGTCTTGAATAATCTTTAGCTTATCTCAGTTTCAAATAGGTTGAATTGAGGAACATTCCAGGATAAAAATAAGTTGGGTTTTAAAGAGAAATTCTATGTAAGCTTAGGTCGTAAGTGGTCGTAGAGGAAAAACTGGAACAAAATGACTTAGAAACTTGACGTCGACGTTTTTCCTTCTTGGTGCATGACACGTTTTACGCCCCGGACAGAATATTGGACTGTGGAAATGGGAAATATACACACCTTAACTTTCTTGTTTCTCTACAAAGCAAACGGGTTTAAAATTTCTAAAATTCATCCTCTATGACTACTTTTTGTTCGTTCCCCATCGAGATAAAAGTCTGAAATGGGGCCGGAGTTTTATACATGGTCATGGCATTCAGCACGCGACCTTTGACCACCCAAATTTTTTCCTCATTGTCGTTCGACGGCGTCCGGTCTCGTGAAGACACCTTTATTTCCGGTAACACGAAGTGAACCAATAGGAGTGCGCTAAATTTCAAATATAATTTTGGCGCCCAAAACATAAGTGTTGGGCGGTGACGTCACTGGGCGGACTTTATTGTGTATACACAGCAAATTTTTATATATCGTCAAACGCAGCGAAAAATGGAGATGTTTTGTTAGGGCAATGAATTTTTGAATTCTCTTTGTATATTTTATAAGTTATGTGTAGAAAGATGGCCAGACAGTGAATGATGCCAAGACAGTCGTATATTTCCGAAACTGAACAATTTGCAAGGATAGAAGGTAATATATTTTGTTATGTAAATATGCGAAGCTTTCTTGCTTTGACAGCTGTGAACGTCAAAAGAATTGCCCTGTATTCTTTTGCAGCATTACTCAAACAGACAGGCTTTTAGGTTATTAACTCTTTCAGTTGAACTAGGTAGTTCTTCGTCCAGCTAAACTAACAAGCCGGCTTCAAATTGAGTACGTTTCAAGATCGCAATATTTAGCGACGAAAATATTCTTATCGCTTGTATACGTGGTCGAAACTGGGTCACGAACAATACAAGCCTTCGATTAAACCCTTGCAGTTGTTAATATTGTATTCTCAAGCTTAAAAGAGAGTACTAATTCCCCCAAAAACCGAAGCATTCACCATTCGTAAAACGAAAACGAATGTTTTATATTGCAGTATATATCTGTCTTCGATTTGAAATGATTAAACATTGACCCGGTTAATTCGGCCCTTGTTTACGTTTGCCAGAATTTTTATATTCGCTTTATCTTGCGTTGTGGTTTATTTAAAATGTTAGCATTACATTCTATAGTATCAACTGAGTCAGTTAAATATACAATTGTGAAATTATTTTGCAAGAAATATCAATCGTATTGCGTCGTAATAAAAACAACCTTCTCAGGCAGGTCGGGTTCATAGGATCTTGACAAAGTCATGGCATAGTTCTAGAATTTCACTTCGCAGCATTTTTTTACTTAATTTTGTTAATAATGATACATACGAGAAAAGGGTCTTCCTATAAAATTAGGAAGAACGACTTTTTAATGCTCAATTCTCAAGGGAAATATCGCGCTCAGAACGCCCGGTGCCGACTTTTGTTTACAACAAAGGCAATATCTCGTGAGAATATCCCGAAATATATATCATGAAAGACGTGCCTTTCATCAAACACGAAACGAAATTGGATAGATTTTGTTGCCCTAAAGTTAAGTAGGGATTTATATGGAGGGTATATACATTCATGTGCATGACATTTTTCTAGTATTACACTGTGTTAATGTTAATATTTATAGTATAAAAATACAGTAGCTGACATTTGTCATGCATGGGGTAATCACAGTACCACAGTATAAAGCATTATTTATAATACATGTTCAAAACTGCCTATTGTACCTTATTTGAGCAGGTTTCTGCTTGCAAATATTACAACTGCTCTGCAGGGGTGGAGAGTGGGTGGGTATATTAGGAATGCATGATTTTCTTGGAGAATTTGTTGGTCAATTTACATAAAGACAACCTCAATTTTAAATAGAAATATCCCAATCGAAATCCTAATCCATTCTGTTAATCCTACTCTGCATACTTGTTAATATGTAAGATTATTTCATGATGGTAATATTTGGAAAGCCACTCAAAATTTCATTCATTCACCACCCCGGTTATCGTGAACCTCTGAAAACAAGATAACCCCCCCTAAAATATCATACTGCATCTCTGATATCTAGGGATCAAATTGCAAGCTACGCATCAAGTTGCAAGAGTGGATCAGGGCCCATAGACATAACAGATAAAAAAACTAATGTGCCAAATGCATTCCTGACCTTCAATGCAGGTTTAATTAAAAACATAATGCACAAATTTGCCTCATTTTGTATTTTCTCATAAAACATGATTTGATGCAACGTGATTAGGTCGATTAGCAAGTTGTAATATATGATGCATTCTGTTATACTGTGCTTTCATGCCCTTTTAATGTTACTGACAGTAATTGTGTCCTACTGAAAACAAATTCTTGATATATATTGGTCAATTATGGCCTGTCATGTTTAAAAAAATACTAAATGACCGGCAATCCTACAAGGCTGCATTTATAAATGTGTACAGTATGTTGACCAACAATATAAAATTTTTTGTGATGTTTCGTAGCTGACCATGGTTTTAAATTCAAGCCTGAAGGAATAATGTCTGTCAACCATATGTTGTTGCGCCCATAGTGGGACATGGGTGTTAAGGTTTCCTTCGAATTTTCAATAGCAAATCATCATTCAAAGGAATTTCCTGCAGCTGTTTAACATTTCCTGCAAGCAGTGCTCGCGGCCCGTCTATTTTTTCCACCCCTGAAGGGTAGACTGCTGGCACTCAATGGCACTCTGCCCATACATGTCTAAGTTAACCCCAAATGCCCCCTACTTATTTTACTCTGTCTATTACTAATGCCAGATTATTTTACTCTGTCTATCGCCAGGTGATTTTACTTGTTAAAGGGAGAATGCTGACCAGTGCTCAATGGGTTAAAGCATGCAACTGTGGGGTTTTAGGTTCCAAGTTAGAGGCTAGAGCCCCCTTCGATTGTTTTTATATTTGCCTTAAATTAAGTAGCAGTTTTTCTTAAAACTTGTGAAAATATTTTTTTCTGGACTGGTTTCAACCAGTGATGTTTTCCAGGGGAATGCGGGGGAACTCCGTCCCCCCACCTTTTTTACCAGGGGAACGGCATCCCCCGTGCCAAAATTAAACATGGGGGATCGGCGTTCCCCCTGGCAGGGATTAAATATGAGTGAAATTCAGTGAACGCTGTTCGACACCGTCCAAATAATTTTGGCTATCACTTGTACAGACGTTGTACTACATACGTGATATTTTTGACAATAATTGCTCTGCAGTCCTACGTAGAAATACTTCAGAATGTAATTTTGGCACTATTTTAATCTCCCTGGAACTTGATATACTTGCAGAAAATTCTAGCAGACTAGCTTGATATAAGTACTTATTGTCACAGGCATGGATAACGTCAGGCAGTAGCCCAACAGGATATAATTACTCTAGTCTTTCGCGCAATCGCAAAATTAATTAATTAAACATTAAAATGATCAATTGGAACATAAAATGATTCAATAAGAACATTAACATGATTAAATGGGAAAAATTCAAGGATATTTATTATCTAAGCTTATTTAGTTAGACAGATTTTGATTTTTGCAATAAACCTACATAGTGGTTCAGATCATTAAGTGATGTGGGTCAGTGACCCTCAACATACAGTAGAAGTAAACTATGACAACATGGTGCCTTCAGTTCATCTAGTTTACAATTATAAGCAGTCATTTTTCAATGGTGAAAACACAAATAGGACAGAATAACCATACTCCAAGAACAACTGTATTTCAACACCACAGAAAGTATATATAACTTCACTACTGTTGGTATTCAAACAGGTTAATATATATAATAATAAAATTCTATTTTGTGTTTTTAGATGATTGGGAACAATTCGAAAGTGAGCAAGTTGAGGGAGGTGCTTCATTATGAGCTGAAGAGAGAGACCAAATACCAGCCAATTTTTTCAATACTCCCACAGGTACAGAGTGTGAAAATATTTGAACACCTATTGTACAGTTCTAATTGTACTGTATCATTCTACAGTAGAAACCTGTGGGTTTTCTGGAATGTGTATCAATATCGAAGGATTCAATGTAGAAATATTGAGAGAAAAGTTGAATGATCTTTTCAGTCAATTAGTTTAATAATTAATGATGAAAGCACATGACTGTATTCCTTTTAGGACAAGAATGCAGTCACCTTGGCAGAAAGAGACAGAATTGTGTCAAATTTGTTGACATTGAATAAGCAGTTTGGTTTTCATCCTGAATCATTTGCCTTAGCAGCAAATATTTTGGACAGATTCCTGTACCTAGTGAAGGTATGTTGTACTTAAAATTATTTATAATGCCCTAACAGCAACTATCTGCTGTAGGTAACAAATATTTAAAAATTTCTATAATGGTAAGTTTTGTTACAATTCAATCCTTGCAGGCTCAGAAGAAGTATTTACCATGCATTGGTGTGGCCTGTTACTTTTTGGCAGTGAAAATAATTGAAGAGGAGGAGGTACACAGTTTAATATTATTTTGGTTTCTTAAATTTGTAATTTTTGAATTTCTGATACTATCATTATAAAGTACAGTATATAATAATTATTAGAGCTGTGCGATTCCAGAAATTTCATCGTGGTACTGGTATCAGTCTTTTTGTATCAGTTATCAGCCAGTTTCGGTGTTTTCAAAAGAAGAACAGTTCAAATAATTTGCTCAATAAATTGTAATATAACTTCGAGATACTTAGAAATTAGTGCTAAGAAAAGAACCTGAGCAACCAAACCTGCACAGCTCTAATAATTATAATGCAATTTCTTGTGGTCTGAAACAGTAGTCATTAGAACTTTGTATACAAATCACTGAGGTTAACCCTGCAACTTTTATACAAGTTTTATAATTCATAGTATTTTAATTTAATTTATAGTTACAATATGCATAGGTTAAACCGACCATAAATGACATTCATTATTTGTAAATATTATAATGTTCATTTCAAATTAAATTAAATTAAAAAATTATTTCCAGCACTGAATTAATATTTTGGAATTTCTCTACAGGATCTCCCAGGGGCAAGTGAACTCTTAAATGCTATTGGATGTTCGTTTTCTGTATCAGATCTTCTGAGAATGGAAAGAATTATTTTGGCAAAACTTGATTGGGATCTCAACAGTGTTACGCCATTATCATTCCTGCAGGCAGTAAGTTTGTGTTCAAAATGCTTTAATCGCAAATTGAAGATGCTTTACATTTGTGCTTTATTGTGCATGGAAGTTAAACTGAATCAGCTAAGTCTCATTAATGCCTGTTGCCACACAATTCACTCTCGTAATATTATTTAAATGCTTAGTTACCTTGTTCTATATTTACCTCATCTTAAGTGGTAACCAACTACAACTCAAGTATTGTTTGTTTATTATTGAGTTCCTCACTCATTGGTAAGGGGATTTCCGACAGGCTATTGCCCAGGGGATTCGAGGTACCTGCAATTTTAACGTTCTTATCCGAGAAGACGCGAAAGTCTAACCATTTACTGATGTCAATGTAAAGGTAGCACTTTCTCCTCAATTACTTAATTAAGACCTTGAGTAGAGGTCCAACCAAGGGTTGAAACCCGGTCTCCCAGCTTGAAAGGCGAGCGTGGTGAACACAACACCACATGAGCTGGTTAAACGTAAGCGTGCGATTTATCTGAAAATGCGAATTGGGTGGAAACAGGTGTTTAAACATGTGTTAGCTATTCGAGTATTGAACAGTGAATGCGGTGCATTTCACTTTGCTGACTATTTTAATATGTCCCTTTTGCAGTTTCATGCGATGAGTGTTGCCAGTGGCTGTGTAAGTCCACATGTAGTTTCTCACCACTTACAATTATTAACAAACAAACTGGAATTGCTCATTTGTCAACAGGAGTTTCTTTCATACCGTGTAAGTAATTACTTCATAATACTAGCACATATATATTGTAACTATGTACTGTTCATGCTATTGCGAGTTATCATGGTCCTATAAACTTCTTTTCTTTTTCACTTTTAGCCCTCAACTTTGGCCTTAGCACTTTTGATTCAAGATCTTAATTCTTCTTTGAGACAGTGGATTCATCTGATCCAATCGTTTCAAGCTGAGATTAAGGTAATGCTTGTTGATTCAATGTATTTATATATTTTTGACAACAATCTTACCCTTTACGAATTTTCAAGCTAAGAGCACCGATGCAGTGACTCAGCTTGCATTGCTTAGCGAGCTTAGGCGATCAATGGAATGAATACTTGGAACTTGTGTGTACATTTTCATTTCACCAATACAGGGTGTTACCTACAGTTAAAAATTTGGCTTTATACGCCGTTTTCACAATTACGTTTAGCCAGCAATTTCACAATTTGGATCAGTTCAAAATAATAAGTATTGCGAGGATGTCAAGTAGCCAAAAATATACATTTGTATGTTTTTGGCATGCAAACTAATGTCAGGTGACTTACAGTCTTAACTCAAATTCCCATGCAATTTCATTACATCTCTGAATGTTTTAATCTTGCTAACACCCTGCAATATCAATGGCGTACATATAATATATATGTCGGAAATGAAGTCACAAGTTCGCTGCACATTGTTATGCTTAGGTTAGGATTGGGTTAGGGCAAGAATCAAAGTTATTGTTGTAAGAATCGGGTGGTAATATTGCTGTATTTGATACTTTCATTATTTGGTTCCTGGTAAATGGCAGTAACCCATGCCAAGTTATTCAATGTATAAGTAAATAAATAAGTAAATATGGAAATTGTCCTGGTTACAATTAAACCTAAAACTTCTTCCTATTTAGGTACCAGAGTGGGAGCTCAATGCGTGCTTCGTAGCTGTCAGCAATTTTTTAGACTTCGCCTTCTCATATGAACATGGTTTCTCTGAAGAAGTGGAGATGAAAAATGCTGTCAACGATATGGACATAGTTTCCGAGGTAAGATTATAGATTAGTAATACCGTATATAAGGGCATGTATAATACAATTTATGGTGATCTTGAAGATGTACGATACTGTAATACGTACTGTGTTCTGGCGCTGTTATACATCACGCAACTTGTGGTGCTAAAAAATTCTGACATTGTATTACAAGTGTTACACTGGGCGCAAGACTTCATGCATTTCGCAATAGAGCATTGTGTAATTAATGATGATATTATATGCAATTTTATAGGCTAACCGCTACAATTGTTCATCCCCTCTCATTCGTGCTTTGGCTCTTGAAACAAATTGTTCCTTTGAATTTGATGGCAAGATACCGACTTATGGTGTGAAAATTTCGAGAATGTTATCAGCTGTCGCCTAGAATATGTACATGCAGTTATCACTCCTTGACCGGCCACAAAAATAATATATGCTTACAAATGGTTTTATTTTAGAATTTGTCAATCTACTCTAGTCTAGTTTACTTTTGTTTACATTTTGCTACTTTTAATTGTTTTTGTGTGTCAAAAAAAGAGAAAAAAAAATGTATAAAAAATCTGTATAAAAATTGTAAAAATGTAAGAAAAAAAATGTGAAAATTTAAATATTGAATATAACATTTCATTGTAAATAGCAAAATGGTACAGAAACGAATGCCTAGATATTAGGTTTGTAGTAGCTATGTAGAGATAATACTATTAATAATATAATATGTATAGTGTACATTTTGCATGTAAGTTAAGAATTATCAGGGCTGGCTTTTTTGTAAGGGTTGAGTAACTTTGTACGATAGTATATTAACTTTTCGAAAATCGAAAGTAGTTGGTATGATGAAGTGAGAATAAATTTTAACTAAATCTAACCGTACATGATTGTGTCAATTACTCTTGGTGTACAATGATGGGTAATATAATCCTGTTTCGCGCACGAATATATTTCTCTTTTCATTGACGGACACTTCAAGAATTTTTTAAAAAATTTTTTTAATTAAAAATATATATATATAAAATTTCACGAAATTTAAAAAAAAAATTATATAAGTCACAGGGTCGTCCTTTCCAGCGTTTTCAAAAACGTTTTTTAAAGATTAAAATCGTTTTGACGCCCTGTTCACACGGTCTAAAGGAAAATATCTCCAATATATTAAATAAACTACAGCTTCTGTCATAAATTGACAGTGTTTGCATCCGTTTTAGCGTGAAAACACAAACGAAAACGTTAACGTGTGCACATAGTCTAAAACTCTACTTAATTTTTTACATTTCACGAAAGGACACTTCACGAAACAAATAGAGCTGTAAGGAATCCTAATGTGGCATCATTGGCATTCATTGTACATAATCGTATATTGTTTTCTACATTGCTAACTTAAGCTTAAGTTTTATTTAATAGTCATTGTTTTTAACATGACAATTGTGTTTACATTGGTATGCTTGCCACTTGCTCCTAAACAATGCTTGTTGTATTTGGTACCAGACTTTTATAGATCTTTCAAAATTATTGGGCAGGGGAACGGCCACGTCCTGCACCCACCCTCCACCCTAGTGTCTGCCACTGCTCTTTGATCTTGACCGGAAACATGAAGATGTATAATTGCTACCAGAATGGTTGTCACCTGATATAGTCAAGTAAATAGTTTGGACAAAACAAGACAATTTTCATATTTTATCGCTAAACAATATTTTTAACATTTTTGTAAACATACAAAACCCGGTAACAATAATTGACCGTAAAGGCTGATTTCCACTCTTGCGTTTTTCATACGTACGTGTACGCACGTAAACCTTAAATCCGTTTAAGATGCACCAAACCTACGACGCGTACGGGAAGAAAAACTGTAACTACACCCACAGTTTCATTACACGGATAAAAATTATGGCCTCCAGTTGATAAACAAAGTCAGAGACACACTAGTGAAGCAAAATAAAACTGGATTCCAAACATTAGCAACGGTTTTTATGTCACGTCCGCGTCGTAGATTTGGTACATCTTTTAAGATGTACCAAAGTTTAATACTGACTCTTCGAATGTGAGAATTCAGAAGACACATTCGAAGAGTCCGTATTAAACTTTATTATTATTATTATTATTATTAATCAATTGATAAATTACATATCAAGTGTTACAAAACAATTTTTAAAATATATTACAAGTTTTTAACATTAAAAATTTTCAGGTTATATTAAAATTGCAAAGCTAAATTATATCTAAAAATACATCTATTGATGAAACTATTTTTAAAACGCTCGGTAGAAATGTTTGGCCACTGTACCTCGTGTGTTCTAAGTTTAACTGTATATTCTTTAATTTTTGGTGATTGTTTTGTTTACACAGCTTTTCAAACAGCTTTCTATCTATCTGCTCTAACAGTATATTAATATCTATTTGTTCTGATGTACAGTTCTTTTATAACAACGAGTTAAGAAGTTTTGAATAGTTGTTAACTCCGGTGGTGATGCACAGCAATAACTGATAAGCCATAGGTAAGTTGTGACAGGACCAGTGACCTAAAAAAAAGATCTAATTCGTCTTGCCTGTATCCTTCATTCCTCAGCTTTCGAATTACAAACAAGCATTTATTTGCTTTCACCAACTTTTTCTTAACACATTTCTCAAATCTGCTTGTCATTTCAAAGGTTAGCCACAGTATAATGAGTATTTCAAGACTAGAGTGCCGTTCAAAACCATAAATTGGTGTTACACAATCCTCTGATCGTCCTTTCTTTAATATAATCATTTCTTTACATTTACCCTCATTTAAAGGTAAAGAGTTTGATTCGGACCAGTCCCGCTTAAATTCATCTATAGCTTTAGAACTACAATCTTGGGTATTCTTCAAAATCGGTACCAAAAGTGAGGAATCATCCGCGAATTTAACAAGGGGGGGTGTTGGAACAGTTTTTAATCTCCAAATCAATAAATAAAGAAATGTGGTCCAGTTACAGTTCCTTGCATAACTCCCTTGTTAATATCTTTCCACTTGCATGTCGTTCCTTGGAAAACTATTCTCTGTCTTCGATCTTTAAGAAATTTAAGTACCAATTTACTAAATAAGAGTTCATAGAACTCGATTTCAATTTTTCACTCAGTTTTGCGTGTTTTACATTGTCAAATGCTTTGGAAAAGTCCATTGCAATTAATCTCACTGCATCACAATTTGGTTCTTCTAGTGCTTCCAGGTACATATACTGTAATTTAATTAAAGGTAGGTTACAGTCCCTTCTGCGCATGCGCGGGCTTTGTTTACTTTTTTCTTTTCTTTTTTTTATAAACATATTTAATGACTTTAATGTTTACCCAAGAGCGTGGACGTCCACTGGACGCTCATCGAGGGGCTCAGACTACATTTAACAAATAATTAAATAATATACACAACAGGAGAAGACGAACATTACAAAGAAAGAGGAAAAATAACAACAAAAGTGATAAAAGCTGGTTCAATTGAAGGTTCAAAGTAATAAATCAATTCTTAGAAAAACGATTAGTTTGCTTAATATATTTTTGAACATTCATAAATATACATCTATTACTTTCTATACTCAAATCAGTTGAACCAGACAAAAATATTTTAGACTTTTGAGAATCGGACAAGAGATACCAGCTTCCACCATAAATTTGAGCAGCTACCGAGAATAAGTATAATCTAAGAGCAGCATAACGAGGACAATATAACAAATAATGAATGACTGATTCTGTGATTCACAAGAATCTCCACATGAACATGCTGGAGATAATCTACAATTAATTTTAAACAAATAATAATTTAAAGCATTACAATTAAGGCGCAAACGAGTGTGTAAGATAGAAGAATACCCATCAATAGAAAAATCATAGTAGCCAGTATAAGTTGCAATGTCAAAAAACGAAGTTAATGAGCTCTTAAAAAAACCAATCGACTTTGAATTTCGATCAAATAATATCAATGTTATTCCATAATATAGTATAGTTCTCACACCAAAAGGAGAAAAGTCAGAAGCATTTCTTAAGGATAGACCCGACCTTTGTTGTACTGTTTGAGGCAGTAAATCCGACAAATAATTTGGTGTTAACTTATTTACAATTTTAAAATATAAAACAAGTTTATGAATGGATCGCCTTGTTTTGATCAAACATTAATTATATAAGATGAAGTATATGACGAGTTCAAAGTAACATTCCACATAATTTGTGACCGAGGAGTGCAATGTTTGACAACACTTCGCTGCATTTCTTGTACATTTCTACACTGGAAATTTTTGTACACAATGAAACAATCTTATACTGTAACTTTTTAATTAACTGTAAACATCGTGGTGAAGTTATAAAGAGGCCGTTTTGAACCTTGTGTGACTTGCTATATCAACAGCTGCCTGGGGCGGCGAACCGAAATCCCGAAGGTGTGAGTCATAGTGTGAGTTCGAATAATTTGTGTTTACCTTTGGAGTTTGTGTCTCATCATGAAAATAGTTAATGCGGTATCAATCCCTCGAAACATGTTGCTAGAGTTGTTGTTGTCATTATGACAGAAGCGCTTGGGGAAAGCTTTCCCTTGATGAAATTCGAAACAAGTGTGATTGAGAAAGTGGCTGCAGTTCCTGTGTTCGTGGCAAAGCCAAGGGCGAAATTTTTGACCGTGCAAAGCTGGATAAACAGCTTTTGTTCAAGCTCGTGCGCGTTATGGAGATGATTTCGTTATAAACAACAGAGGAGTTCAATAGATTGACAATGACGAGAGTTCGAGACGCTAAGATTATATTCAATATAAGATTATTAGTTGGTTTTGATGAGCGTCGTCGTCAATTTATACACAGAGTATTTACAAAAAAATACGTAGAAACAAAGAAAAAACTACACAAGAGTGCATGCTGAATACAGGAGGTGTGATCCATACATTAACATTAGTAACGGAATCAAAGATTAATATTTTGTTTGAAAATATGGATTGACTGTGCTCTTTTGCTTCCCGCGAGAAAGACTATTCCAAAGCTTTGCCCCGCTGTATTTAAAACTTTTTTAGGGACCGGTCATTATTTATGACCGGTCCCTTAAGATCATTAACACTAATTACGAACTTATACCATCACTCATTCGTATTCATTACGATCGCAGTCAAGGAGAGTAAACAATGTCCAAACAATCGTAAGAACTAACCGTTTTAGCCAATTTGTAACAAATAAATTTTGAACAATTTATACAGTATATATTTATATATATATATATATATATATATATATATATATATATATATATATATAGATCCTTTTAATAATTAAATATTTGTATATAATTTAGGTTTTATAATATAATCTATTTTTTAATCATGTAAGTAACTCGTAATTCAGATGTAAATGTTCTGCAAAGAGTTATTATTAATAAACCATTACTAAAGGGGGGAGGGGAATTTTTTCTTTCCTAAATTTTTAAAATTGAAAGCCCCCCTTAAAAGATTAAAAGAGCAGAAATTTAAAGATGACCCCCCCTACATATTAGAATATTTTTCTTTGACCCCCCATTCTCATTTTTACTCGACAAATGGGGATACCCAGGCGTTATAATGTTAATTATTAATTAAATAAGAATATGGAGCTGACAAGATATTAACGTCGACCAAAAATATATATTAGCAGAAAATTATAATTAAAAGAGGGGTATTTTCATATATAACTCTAAAATCAGGTTTCCATTTGGTCTGGGCGATTGTAACCATGTTTAACGGCAGAGAATTAATATTAGTGTTTGGAGGCAGGTACCGTTTGTGGTCCAAGGCTGTAACTAGATTTGATGGCACAAAGTATTGCCATAGCAACTGCGTAGCAATGAGAGTAAAAATCAGTAATATTAGCAGCAAAAGGAGATAGC